AGTCTGGGTCTCTTTCACCCACCTCGGAAGGATGGAAGGCTGAGTCAACCTTCAGCCGGTGAGATTTGAACCGCTGAACTGCAGATAGCAGTCAGCTGAAGTGGCCTGCAGTACTGCACTCTAACCACTGCGCCACCTCTTAGTTGCCAAATCACAAAAAAAAAGAGTCATAGTATTAGAAAGAAGATTTTATATATAGTCCTCAATTGCCCACAATTGAGCCCAAAATTTCAAAGACAGGGAAGAAAAGAGTGCAGCCGCCATTTTATTTGCTATCGGTTTATTTTGTCCATAACATGCTCTACACTGTCCCATTTTATTACTGGTCTCACTTGTTTTTCTGTTACTGATTTTTTTCCCCATGAAAAGAAGTCAAACTACAGACATGCTAGCTCAGTATGGACGTGTGGTTTCCATGATCGCGCATCCAGGCCCGGCTATTGCTGTGCAAATAAGATAGCTTATCTTAAACTGCATTTTGAGGCTGAAACTGATAAGCCATAAAATCTGTTCTAACCCAGTATAGAATTATCTTTACAGGATGAGAAATGATAATAATTTCTGAATTACTAGGAAGTCCACAAATCACATCTCAGTTTCCATATAAAAGCTGGCTAAACTGGGCATCTTCTTGGGGATGTGTTAAAGCTGTTGAGTTTTTCTCAGTTTATTGGCTGAAAACTTATTTTTTACTAGGTTTTTTTTAAATGTAAGAGACTATGGTGCATAAGGCCAGCATGTTGCTAGCATATTTTTCATAAGAGAAATCTGATCACGGAACTACATGGGAAAATAGACACAGCTTTTAATTCTTTCCATATGAAGTAAACATGGCTTAGCCATTAAACCTTCTGATATCTGCAGTTTGTTAAACCAACTGTGATATTTTCACAGTTCAAAACACATAGTCCTTTTGTGGTTATATTTGCTTTAAAGAAAGATAAGGTTGTAATTTATGAACTGAATAAGCAGCTACAAAAAGGAGTAGGGTAGGGTAGTGTACGGTAGGGTAGAGTAGGGTAGGGTAGGCTAGGGTATGATTACCTGTGTCAAGAAGCATGTGTTGTCACTTTCAGCAAACCACATATAAATAAGAGATGATATATTACAGAACACAAAAAAGATGGATCTAGGGCTCAAAATTCATCTCAAGGAAGTTTTGTAGAAGAAAAGTTGCTGATATTCAATGCCCACATATGTTTTACCTCCCTCATTTTCAACAACACTATCGTTTTGTCCCCGATAAATATATATTTTTGGTATCAGAAGAAAAGAGTAGAAATAGTCTCAGGTTTAGCTCCTCTCATCACACAAATACATTCTGTTTTTAAATACCAAATCCTTCAGTACTTATTTTATATGAAGCAGTGGACTGAGTGAAATAACAAATCACAGTTGTTACTTCAAAAACTGGAACAATGCCACAAGAACTCTTACCCGCATGAACTCCACGCTGCTATTCAAAGGAGTTTCTCTTTGGAAAAGTAGCAGAAAGTTGTCTTCCTCAGTCAAAATCATATTGGCAAGCTAAAATAACATAAATTATTATCATTGTATAATAATAGCAATAGCANTATGCTGACTCTGTAAACCGCTTAGAGAGGGCTGAAAGCCCTATGAAGCGGTATATAAGTCTAACTGCTATTGCTATTGCTATTGCTATTATAATCTTAGTCCTTAATCCAGGAACCTTTTAATGTATATATTATTTTAATGAGTTCAACATAATTCAGATAAAATATCTCAAAAAATGCAAGATACATGGAAAGAAAACATAACGAACAAAATTACTAGGATTACTAAACAAACTAAACATGTCTTTGGGCTAAGTGTTCCTGATCATTGGTTCCAAGTGAGCTTTTTTAAAAATAGGTTAATAAGAAATATTGAAATGGAAAAGGCTTACATGCTTAGGCCATTTAGAGGGTAATCTATCTGCGCTGACTTGAATATAAAATGATTGAAATTAGTGGCTTTTAAGTACATATGTTGTGCTGTTAGAGCTATAAAGGCCAAATACAGTTTAAACTGAGCATGGCAATAAACTGGCAGCCAATAAAGATGAAATAATAACAATAACATTGGACTAATGTGGTTGCAGAGCAAGCCTCAATTAATATCCTGCATCTGAAAATTTACTTTTGGTTGCTGACATTCTGCAAAGCATTCACCCTTTACACTTTCAAGCTGTTGCCACAGCCCCAAAAACTAAAGGAATGTTTTTGATTTAGAACAAGAATATGACCAACCTTCCCAGTGATGGGTTTCAAAATTTTTTGGAACCTCTTCTGTAGGTGTAGCCTGCTTTCTGGGTCCACTGGTGGAACCTCTTCTAACCAGTTCGGTAGATTTAACGAACCGGTTCTACCGAACTGGTAGGAACCCACCTCTGATCCTTCCTCAACATCTTACCAAGCCTCCTTAAAGCAGGACTTCCCAAGCCCTTTCCTTCCTTACCCAAAGCCACTTATCAGTAATTCCTTTTTACTGATATCCTTTTAATCAGAAAGGTCTTATTGAAAGATCTATTGGGATTGGATGATGAGTTTGTGTGTCCTTACCAGAGGTGGGTTCCTACCAGTTCGCACCTATTCGGTAGAACCGGTTCGTCAAGTCTACCGAGCCGATTAGAAGAGTTTCCACCAGTGGACCCGGAAAGCAGGCCACACCTACAGAAGAGGTTCCAAACTTTTTTGAAACCCACCACTGGTCCTTGGATATG